CTGGATTCCCTGTGTTTCCAGTTCCTATCTGTACCAGGGTACATCCTCTGGTCTAGCCAGATTTGTAAGGTAGAATTGGAATCATGATAGTGGGGGTGGGTGGGGAGGAAGCATTTAGGAACTAGAGGAAATTTGTATGTTTCATCATTGCTACCCTGCACCCTGACTGGCACGTCGTCCCCACCCCCACCCCCCATGCCCCGCAACCCCTCCGTGAGTGGATGTCCAGTTGCCTACAGTTGGGCTCTGGGTCTCCACTCCGCACTCCCCCTCATTCACAACGCTACGACGTTTGTTCTGATGGCCCTCTCTACTTCTCATCTGGGCTCTCTGATTCATTCCGATGGCCCTGCAGAACTCACAGACAGCGCTCAGGCCCCGGCCTGTGAACAGGTTGCAATTCAGGTGTTCAGTCAGGGCTGCTAACAAATTCCCAAGGGCAGGGAATTCCACTGCAAGTCCAGCTCCAGCTGCAAACAAGCGCCTCCATGTAAGTGCCCAGAGGCACCCCACCCCCCAAGCCAGCCTCCTGCCCCAGAGCACCCAGCCTTACTTGCTATGTGGATTGGGGAGTCCACCGCCCAGCCTCACGCTCTGGCTCTGCTGCTGCTGCTCCTCTGTCACTGACGGAGGCCTCGCTTTTTTGGTTTGTTGATCTGTTCCTCAGCTGCTAGGCATTCAGTTTGCCGCCTCCTCTTGGCTCTTGGGAATAGGGCTGCTATCAACCTTGGCATACACGTGCTTTTGCTTGAGCACCTGTTTTCCATTTCTTTAGATAGCTGCTTAGGAGTGGGACCTCTGGGTCACATGGTAATTCTGTCTGTGAGTATGGAAATGAGAAGGGGGGGATTTGAGTGAAGACTTAAAGTAGGCTGCGGAGTGAGCCATGCAGGTGGGGGAGGGATGGTGGTAGGGAAGACACCAGTGCAAAGGCCCTGGGGTGGGAGCGGACCTGCCAGTTTGATGGACAGCAGGAAGGCTCCTGTGGCTGGAGGGGAGTGAGGAGGGCCAATAACATGCCAGAGGGGTAAAGAGAAGTCATATGATCCCCAAAAGCAAGCCAACCAAACCCGTCGCCATTGAGTTGATTGGGACTCATAGTGCTCCCTTGAACTACAGAAAGCTGATGGACACAGGGTTTTCTTGGCTCTAATCATTGGGAGATCAGCAGACCTTCGTCCAGTAGATGGCAGCCCCGGGGGCCTTCAAATCATCAGCTTTTTTTTTTTTTAAACATTTTATTAGGGGCTCATACAACTGTTATCCCAATCCATACACACATCAATTGTGTAAAGCGCATTTGTACATCATTCTCAAAACATTTTCTCTCCACTTAAACCCCCGACGTTAGGTCCTCATTTTCCCCCTCCCTCCCCGCTCCCCCCTCCCTCATCAGCCCTTGATAGTTTATAAATTGGTATTTTGTCATATCTTGCCCTGTCCGACGTCTCCCTTCACCCACTTTTCTGTTGTCCGTCCCCCAGGGAGGAGGTCACATATAGTTCCTTGTAATCGGTTCCCTCTTTCCTACCCATTCTCCCTTTACCCTCCCTGTTTCACCACTCACATCACTGGTCCTGTAGGGATCATCCGCCTTGGATTCCCTGTATTTTCAGTTCCTATCTGTACCAGTGTACATCCTCTGGTCTAGCCATCATCAGCTTTTTAGTACTTGACTGCAAATCATTTGTGCCACCCTCACCCCAAATCGTTGTTGCTGAGTTGATTCTAACCTAGAATGACTCTATAGGACAGAGTAGGTCTGCCCTGTAGAGTTCCCAAGGCTGCAGATCCTTCCAGAAGCAGACTTCCACATCAGTCTCCCATGGAGCAACTGGTGGATTCGAGCTGACAACCTTTTGGTTTTCAACTGGACACTTTGACCTACGGCACCACCAGGGGACCGGTGTTCCATGCACCTTGTGGATTGTAGTATGGACTTTAATTTTCTCCTTGTGTGCTAACCAAAAGGGCCGCAGTTTGTGACCACCAGCCACTCTGTGGGAGAAAGACGGGGCTGTCTGGTCCCATAAAGAGCCACAGTCTTGGAAGCTCACAGGGGCAGTTCAACTCTGTCCTATAGGGTTGCTGTGAGTCAGCATGGACTCAATAGCAGTGGGTCTGATGTGGGAGTTGATACCATGGAAAGCTATTGGCAGCTTTTAATAGAGAAGTAGTAGGATCCGGTTCTTGTTTTAACAGGATCTGTCTGGTGCCGCCCTGAGCGTACCCTGAAGGGCAAGAACCAAAGGGCACTGGCAGCACTAACCCAGGAGAGAGCGCAGGAGGGGCAGGAGGAGCCGGGAGCAGCACTGGCTTCCGGAATGTTTTGAATGTAGAGCTCCCTGAGGAACTGACTTGAATGTGGGGTGGGAGAACATGTGGGGAGGTGAGGCTATCACAGGCTCAGGCGCAGGTCAATGGAAGACTGAGGCTACATGAACTCTAGTGGGGCACCCCTTCAAGAGGAGCTGACCCAGGTGGGCTTAACAGCAAGTCAGTCGGTCCATCAGATGTTTCAGGTGCCAGTAGCATCCCCATGGAGTTGCCAAGGAGACTTGGATCTGTTTCTCCGAGAGAAGTCCGGGTATAGATGCAGACTGGAAGGCAGGCTTTTCAGGCTGGGACTGGCCAGCTTAGACTTAATTTCCTTGGTAAACTCCTCAAAAACGTAAACCTTGCACATGTGTGAGGCTTTATAAATGTCAGTTTGAGGTGGGACTTTTCAGCGTCAACCTGCCCACCTTGAGTCCATGCAGGTGTTCTGGGTGAGGATGGCGCAGCATTGGTGCGTTAGTCTGGGTTCTTTAGAGAAACAAATCCACAGAAACTCATGTATAAGAGAGTTTTATATAAAGGGTAAGTGCGCATCAAGAAAACATCCCAAGTTTCTGGGAAAGACAGGCTCGCGATGGCTGCCTCTGGTCTCCGCCGGGAGGCAGGTCAGCCGTGACGCTTCTCCTCCCTATCGCCTTGAGGAAGTCGCCGGGTCCTACCGTTTGCAGCCGTGCAGTGTGTCCTTGTAGGACAGACGAGAGCAATGGCAGGGGCTCTCCCCTGGGGATTAGGCAGGAGCCTTTGGGGCTGGGTGCCCTTAGCCTGCAGGAGCTTTTCTCTGGGCGTTCCAGGATTGTCCCGTGTAAGACTCACCCTCCCACCCCCTAAAGTCGTCGATCGTTGGAATGAGAGGAGGGCCTTGTTCGGGGTGTCTGATAACATTGGGATCCTGGGTGACTTTGAGAAACACCCCAAAGAACTGATCAAGGGCCCCAAATGGCTTCGAGGTTGGAAGCGGAATGAATTGCAACGTTGCATCAGAAAGAGGAGCATGGCTGGGAATCCACTGTTCCTTGATGAGCTGCACAAGCTTAACAGACGCGTTCGTTATCTTTACAGACATTTTAGTCGGCACGGAAAATACCGCTAGAAGAGAAAATGGAACTGTGGAAGTGGTGCATGCTGTCACCTTGAATACGGCAATAGTACATTTCCTTATGAAGAAAGAACGTTGTGTGTTTTCTGCAATAAAAGGGGTTTTGTTTGGAATCTTATATCCACACACAAAAAAAAAAGAAGAAAAAAAAAAAAGAAAACATCCCAAACCAGGGCTGTCCAAGCCCACAAGTCCAACATTAACCCGTATGTCCGACACCAATCCACAAAGTCCTCCTCCATCTCACAAAACAGACGCAATGACGCCAACTGCAGGAGGAAAGCCGAGTCAGTGAATGTGTACGCATCTCAGCGCTGGCGGGGGTTTCCACACGACTGCTCCAGCACCCAGGGCTGCATCGGTGTAGGTCCATGTGACTTCTCCTCAGGGATGTCTTGCCGGAAATAAGCCTTGCCAACTGAAGCAGGGAACTGGCTAAGGCAGCTGCACCCTGGTCCGACCATCAGAGAGCAAGACACCCGAGAACTCGAAAGGCGAGGCTCACCGAGCCATTTATCCCTCTGCCCTTCAATTAACCCCACATGTGTTTATCGGCCAGGTTGGCACCATAAACTAACTACTTCAGTTGGGAATGGGAGAGAAACCACTGAGTTGTACACGTTGACATGGTCAAAATAGAGAATTTCACCTTGATTTAAAGAGAGACAGAGGGCAAAGTCTGAGAACAGGTTGCCTGTGTCTAAGAGGTCCAAGAATCCTACCCCTGAGACACACGTTCACGTGTTTCAAAAGACATGAACAAGGATGCTCACAGCAGTGTTATCTGAAAAAGTCTCTAAGGTGGAAGCAAGCCAAGTGTTAGCCCAGCGGTTCTTAACCTGTGGGTCGCGACCCCTTTGGGGGTCAAGTGACCCTTTTACAGGGGTCGCCCGATTCATAACAGTAACAAAATGACAGTAATGATGTAGCAACAAAAATAATTTTATGGTTGAGGGGTCACCACAACATGAGGAAGTGTTTTAAAGGGTTGCGGCATTAGGAAGGTTGAGAAGTACTGTGTTAGCCCATGGTGGAATGGATCAGTAAACTGTGGTGTGTTTATATAGCACACTACTACGGTGCACAGATCCGTCCCCATCCTGCCCCCACCCCACCACTCACTGCCATGGAGTTGTAAGCATCTCTACTATCTTGGGATACTTATAGGTTGCCATAAGCCATGCATATTCAGTAGTTACATACGTCACAGGGTGGGTGGTAACCACAGTAAGGTCCCTGAGCTCACGGCTCACAGGTGAGGAAACCTAATAGCCTCACTGGGGAAGGTATGAGGGGGGCTGGGTGACACAGTGGGAGGCGATAACAACAGGATGTCTGCTTCTGTAGGGAGGTGGAACCCACCATGTGCTCACTTTAAGGCACCACAGCTGTTAGGGGAGAATCTGTGGGAGTGACATTTAAAGCAGGATCATGTACTTGGACTTTATCTCTAATTTACCATAGTGGCGACTTTCCTACTGTGGAATACTAGCTTTCCAGAGTCCCTCTGTTGTAAGATAGGGAATGTAGTCCTCCTCATATTTCCCTCAGTGTCAGTGTCCCACACTTCATCAGAGCCACTATTTCCCCTACCACGTGTTTTTCCTAAATGAGGATGGTTTTTCCTTCCTCGGTTCAATTTTTGAAGACAACTTTTGTCTGTCTTGTTGCTGGTGCTGACAACAGACACAGCCGCACCTACACTGAAGTCAGTTTCTAGAGGTCCCACGGAATGCCATTGATTTCATTCTTTGAGTTGTGCAAATATTCTCACCCTCCTTTTCTGAATTGTTTCCTCTCATTCACATAAACCCCCTGTCCCCTCAGGGTCCTACCCAATCTTGCAATATGAACCCATATAGACAGCTCTGAAAAGAGGGTGTAATCTTCGAGGCCGAGCTTTTTCACTAGCTCAGCTAAACTATGGTTTGCTTTTCACATGCTTTTAGGGAATAGTTCTGGTTTAAAGTTGAACGTTGTTTCACGGGGCAGTGACTTCAGGGATTCATCCACCCTTCCTGGTTAAGGTCTGTGAACATTCGAAATCCCATCCTGCATTCCTCCTCTTTTGATCAGGATTCTTCTGTGGAATCTTTGATCAAAATATTTCAACAATGGCAGCCAGGCACCTCCAGGTTCTTCTGGTCTCCAGACAAAGAAGGCGGTTTTCCAGGAGGCAATCAGCCACCCATTCTAAATCCTCCCCTTCTTGACTCTCCTTCTTCCTCAGTTGTCTCCATAGAGCAGCTGTTCTCTGCCTGGAGGTCGCGACCCATTTGGGGTCGCACAACCCTTTCACAGGGTCGCCTAATTCATAACAGTCGCAAAATGACCATGATGAAGCAGCCATGAAAATGTTATGGATGGGGAGTCCCCATCACATGAGGAAGTGTGTTAAAGGGTTGTGTCACTAGGAAGGTGGAGAACCACTGACCTAGAGCTTTCATGGGCTGATGTCCCAAAGCAGGTCACCAGGCTTTTCTTCCTCGTCTGTCTCAGCCAGGAAGTGCCTTGACCAGGAGGGGAACCCGGTCTTCTGAACGGAAAGTGAGAACATTCCCACGGAATGTTCCCACAGCTGCCTTCTTTGTCTCCTCAGCCTGCTGTATTTTATTTGAATTGTTTACATGTCACACGCTTCTCTGTTCATTGGTCATCTGTCTTCATTCCTAGACGGTAAGTTCCATGAGAGTACTTTGCTTTCATTCAGTTTTATCCCTAGTGCCCAAGCTGGGAACTGACACATAATAGGTGCTCTCTGAATATTTACCTGGTGAGTGAAGTGTACAACAGTATATGTGACAGACATAGTTTGGAACCAGGACAGAAACAAGGAGCCCTGGTGGCAGGGTGGTTCAGTGCTTGGCTGCCAACTGAGAGACAAATGGATTGAACCCACTGCGTCACTCACTTTTCAAGGGAAATGGCTGATGATCTGCTCCTATACAGGTTGCACCCTAGAAAATCGATGGGGCCCTTGGAGTCTCTCAGGTGGGGTCACTAGGAGTGAGTCAAATCAACTTGACAGCATCAATAACAATAAGGGCAGGAACTGACCAACGGAATGGCTTTTCAATCACAGCCTTTAAAGCTGGCTTCTAGGCTCAGAGGATCATTCTCTTACAGAAATTATAAAGAAGTTGGGGTGAATGAATGTTAGCCACATCCATTTCCCAGCTAGAGAAAAGAGGCTGCCTTTAAGATTACAAACAGGTTTCTGAAAATCAGGCCATGACGTGTGTGTGTGTGTGTGTGTGTGTGTGTGTGTGTGTGTGTGTGTAGGGTCCTCCTGAGTAGACGGAGCTGCCGACACAATCTATTGGAGATCATTACACTGTACCACGAGTCGACTTCTTGGTGAGATCTTGCAGTCTGAGCAGCAACTCCTGGGTACCGGAGCTCCCCGCCTCCCACCGAGGGGTCGGCGGCTGTGTTTGTCTTGTGAAGTAGGAGCAAAGTAGGGCAGCCGAGAATGTGGGAGGCGAGTTTAAGAGAGGCTCCAGATCTGGGGAGGTCTCAAAGGATTGGATGGGGAACCCAAGAAGTCACGTCACCAGCTCTTAGGAAGCCATTAGCCAATGCAGTGCCTTGACGGGTGCCTTGGCTGGGACTACCAAGTCTTCACAACAGCCATCCCTGTGCTGTTCTTCCACATGACCGGAGCATTGGCTACAGCTGGTGTTAGGCTGCACCTGCGGCTACCCAGTTGTGCAGGGCTGGGCTCCTGCCTGAATGAGAGAATCCGCGGGTCTAAAGGGTTACAGGGCCAGTAATAACCCTCCTCCAGTCGGCTGGTCTCTTATTCCACCAGCTCACATACCTTCTCAAAGAGTAGTTAACCTTCCCTGCAGCTCCCAGCAGAAGCGAGAGATGTTCAACACTGCGTTCCTTGTTCATTTGGGAGCTGAGTTTCCTGGCCCGAGGGTGCACACAGTGACTCAGCGGTGTCTCCCAGAAGACATCTGCAGTCCTGTCCACAAGTGACATGCATTACTTTAATTGCTCCACCCAGCGCCTTCTGGTCTGTCCCTTTCAGAGCCCGATGGAGTCTGCTCCCCTGCTCCCAGCGGCTCTCCTTCTTCCCAAAACAAACAACACCATGTTGGGATTTTTCAACCATGAGATCTTTTACTTCCCTTGAAAAGATTTTCTGCCCTCGAGGGTTTGTGATCTCTGTATTTCTTCTCTGTCATATTAAAGAGGTCTCTGGGAGAGACAAAAACAGTAGGGGACAATAAGCTGCCAAGATTGAAAAGTCAGTGATGAATGAAATGTGATACTGCTATCACCCCTTGACAGAAAAAAATGTTTGAGGGGGGAACCAAGCTGGGGGAACATCTCTCATCCAGATTCCAATAGTCATCCTTCCGTTGAATTCTCTGAGAATGTTTGCAGGATGTGGTCACATTCTTGGGTTGCATACAGTTTATATCCTTCCTTTGTCACTCGACATTTGTATCAGAAGCAATTCCCCACGTTTCGATATGATCTTTAAAATCATTGTTTTAAAGGTTGCATAATATTCCGTTAGGTTGAGTTTCAAGAATACACCAGAATGTTGATGTTACTGAATACATAAGGTGTTTCTGGTATTGATTTATAAACACAGAGGGGGAGGGGAATGAAGGAGAGAGCCTACGCACAATATATTTTGGCTTTGTGTGTGTGTGTTATTTAACTAAAAGAAGGTCTCATTGAATGCTGCTAGTGAGATTGAACATACACTAAAAGTGGCATAAATTATAGATTTGTTTTAAAAAATAGTGACTGAGCAGCCATCAGGAGGGAAAAACTTGGATCCATATCTTTTACTGGGACAAATTCCAAATGGACCAAATATCAAGATGTCCAAAAAGCAAGGCAGACAGACAGACAGAAAGAAACCACAAGAGTACTTGAAAAATCCAGTGGAGGCTTTTTTTTTGTTTTTGTTTTAAATTAGTTCACAAATAGAAATTTTATCCAAGTAGGAAACAAAGTTCAGAATCCCTAAA